TGAGCTTTCTTCCCGTGCCCGTTGAACACTCAAGCGAGTTTTGGATTTTTGATTCCTTCAAAGACTTGCTTCTATGCGGTTTTGCAGATATTATCGAAAACAGTGAACTTAGCAGATCGTACTTGGTCTGCAATCTGGTTACAGAGCAGTGGATTTCGCTTCCTGTTGCACCTCCAAAGCCTACGCCGCACGATGGATTGTTTGGTAGGTTAGTTTGTGAATCCCTCAGTAATTCTGATTCTGAATATCGATTTCGGGTGGTGTGTATTTATCAATTGGAAAGCTCTACAGTACTAGACGTGTTTTGTTTCGAGTCCGAAGAATGGATTAAGAATGCTCTTGTTCTTCATGGTTATTTCAAACTCTATGCAATAAATAAATGTTATTTCGATAAATGGGGAGTTGTTTTGGGGGCATGTTAAGACCCACGATGCGTCTTTCCCTTTGCTGGTTGTGGTAAATCCTTTCCGTCTTGATGTGTCGCCCACTATTATCGATACTTGTTTGGCACCCTTTCTAAAACCTTGCTGGAATATTATGGTCTCTCGAGATGCTTTGCACATAATTGCATTTGAAAAGAAACCTAGTCATGGTTGTTCAGGCAATGCTTTGAGTGTTTGGACACTAGAAGATGGTAAATCTTGGAGGAAACAATATCAAATGGCGTTTGACAGAAGGTCTAAGGAGTTGCAGGGGTATAAGGGGTATACTACTTGTATACGTGCTATGCATCCCGAGAAGCCAGAAATAGTCTACTTTGAATTTTATGACAAGAATTCGAATCAGGATGACGCTGCTATCTTGTCTTGCAATTTGAGGAGATGAATGATAGATTTATTCTGTATATCACGCCGCGCTTATCCTCGTTCCAACCTTTGAACTCTTATTGGCCTACTCCAATTCCAAGGTATGTGGAGTCACATGGTTTATGTGATGGAAGCCACAACTGGTTTGTTTATGGAAGCATCGAGGCAAAGACACTATCCCACCTTGAGGAATTCCAAAGTTTCTATGGTGGAAGGCACACCTGCTTGTTTCAGGGCACTCAAAGGTGAGAAGTACGCCTGCCCAGATGGCCATTCTACATCTCCTGTCACAGAGAAACATGGAAGGTACGTATTGAATATCTTTTGGGTGGTACCAGATTGCAATCCAATCTTTATTATACAATTATATGAGGTGCTTTTCCTGAACATTCTCAATGTTTCTGTTTGGTAAGAGGTTGAAGATCATCTGAGAACCCCTTCAACAGGTTGTTGAAGTCTTTAATGAAAAACTCCTTTCTCTTCTGTCCCGCAGCTGCAGGCGAGCACGACGAAGGTGAGTTTGAAACTGAAAAGGAAGACTCCTCTCTTTCTTCCAGTTCCTGCTGGAGCCCCAACTATGGGGACAACTTTGTTTTCACACGGTTCTAATATGAGGTTCTCTTCTATTCGTTTTGGAGGAGTTTGCAGTGAAGTCGCCATGTTTGGGATTGAAGGCCAGGCTCCAGATTTGGGTCGCCTTCCTCATGAATGGTATACTAAACATGTCAAAGAGACGGATTTTCAACCATTTTGGTTCACTCTTTTTGGCAGGGTACTATGTTGTTGGCCAGAGGGATGATGCAAAGTTGCATACGGGTTTATCACTTCCCTTTTCTGTTATGCCAAACTAATTGTTTTATTTTCAGTATTTTAGGAAGTTTGCCAGGATTTAGGAGTGCATATTGTGTCCTTTGACATGCCTGTTTGGGGAGAGAGTGATCCCGATCTCGAGCAAACCCCTGAGAGCTTGGCCATGGATGTAGGTAGCTCGTTGATAAGTTGGGACTTGGTTCCAGATTCTCTTTGATTGGGTCCATTGGAGGTTAGCCTATTTGGGGCTATCTCAAATACATCCCTCACAGGCAAGTATTTGGAGGACCTGCCTCAAAAAGAAAATCCATTAGCTATACCCATGATACATCAATCCTCTGCAGTCAAACATATTGCTGTAATTTTACAGCCACCAGGTGAAAAACTTCACTTTATTCCTGCAGTGCTTTTATGGATTCCTGTCCACATGGCTTCCCCCAATAAGTTTTCATACCGGTGATGTTGGGATATGGATTAATATGCCTACACGACTATAAACGGGCTCAAGCCCACCGCAAGGCGTCCTGGGCCCAAGCACACTCAAGGAAGCCCAAACCCTATATAAGGAGGCCTAACCCTCCAAACAAGGGATCTTATCTTTTCCCTTCCTGACTTTCCCCTAAGGTCTCTCTCTCTACTTTATCTCTCTACATACCATACACTCTTCTATATCGTACTAACTTGGGCGTCGGAGCGTATCCCGGGGGCCGCCCCCCGCCTCACAGGTCTTCCACTCCCGAGGAGATCAGACGAGGGAGTCCAGATCTGAGCCCCATAACCGCCTAGTACATTCTAGGTACAAACAATTTGGCGCCCACCGTGGGGCAATGAATCGGAACTCGTTTGTTTGGTCTCTGAAAGAGGGAAGAAATCAATTACGGTGGAGAGCCGCCGGCTCTTCCTCCTACTCCTTCGCTATTCCACTGTGCTGCAGGATTAACATTGAAGTCAAAATCTGCTTCTTCCGCCGTTCACTCCATGGCGTCGACACCAACGCCACCCAGCCGCCGCAACGTCCATCTAGCTCTCTCTAGCTCTTAGAAGAGGCATTCCATTTCCAGATTGGGCCGCAACAAAAGAAGAAAGGGGAAAAAGCAAAACAACAAAACTAATGGCTCGAGGAAGAGAATCAGATCCAGCTCCGGCCAGCTGACCACGGTTCACCTCCATGGGCAAAGCTCGGAAACTCCAGCACAATCCGCCATCACTCGTCCCCGCCGTAGCCACTAGTAGCTACCGAGCTGCTCGTCTCCACCGACGCCCAAGCCAACGAGTGAACCTGCAAAACGTGGAAAAAAAAAGATTCTCAGATCGCCGGCGACGCAGAGAAGTCGGAGCTCCGACGTCAAAAAGAAGAAGTTGTTGCTCCTGCCTCAATGACTGCTCCTGTCACATTTTTCAACTTTTGGCTCCCAAAAGTCGAAAAGCATGCTAATATGGTCTGCTACAGTGGGAGTCCATCAAGGCCACTTTCTCTGTGTGTCAGGAAAAAGTGGATGGTGAAGTTCCCGAGGGAGCAGGGTTATCGAGGACTCTATGGGTTAAACGCCTAGAAATAAAAGATTCAAAGCGCATACATAATGGGAGGAAGCCTTCAAAGAATAATGGGTTGCACTTGAAAAAAAAAAGGAGTTGGATTAACAAAATGACAAAAGAAAGAGCCTAACAGCGCTAAGGAGGAAAAGCAACCCGCCACATGCAATTGGAAAAAGAAGAACGTCAGCCTGCTCTGGCTCATCCAATGAAGTAAAGCCTTACTTTTAAGACCCACATCCCGCAGTCAAGGCCCGCTCAGCTTTCAACTTCCAACAAGCCGGTCCAACCCGCACACCGCCTCCCATTGAGGACCGCCAGCGAAGGCTCATTCTAATGCACGCCCCAACATTAACCACCTGGCCCAGCTTAAGTCAGCACAGTCCGCGCTCCTATTTAAAAAAGAAAAAGGGATGCCAGCGTCCAATGTGAATCGAACACGGAAACGCCGAACATTGATCAGTAGCTTCAACCAGTAGGCTACTGGACGTTTTCAAGTGAGTCTCCTAACGCGGTTGTGTGTATTCATTCTGCTACATCTCCAACACTTGCGTCCAACTTTCTACCAAGACACACCTCCCGCCTTCCAACTGGGGCACAACCTTCCAAATCCTGCCAAACACGCCAACAGCCCAGCTCAATTCGGGCTCAATTAAAAAGAAATACCAACCGCTTGAGCCCGGATTCGAACCTACGTTCTACCTCCTGAAGGCAGGGAACCGCCCAATATGCTACAAGATTCAGAGGAAGTCAACCCGCCCAAGCAGATCAAGTCTCGGCCCGCCTTCTACCTTCAACTCGCAAGAAGCCCACGAAACCGCCATTAAATCCCCGGCCAGCCATCAACACACGGACCGCGTCCAAAGCCCAGTCAGCCCAGCCACCACTTCCAGCCCATAATGGCCCGCTTTGTAATGAAGACGACCATCAACACGCGGACCGCGTCTAAAGCCCAGTCAGCCCAGCCGCCACTTCCAGCCCATAATGGCCCGTTTTGTAATGAGGACCGCATCGAATCTACGCTAGGAAGCGATCCGCATAACGGTCTCCGAAGCCCACATCCGCCGCCCATTACGGACCGCCCGTGAAAGCCCAACGCACGCCTTCTTCACGCGGACCGCTTTCGTCCAGCCCATCGCCCGCCTACCACTAGACCAGTCCACGAACCGGTCCGCCTCCGCTCAAGCCCAATGCGGCCCGCCTCCAATTAGCCCGCCACGCATCGCACGAGCCCGCCTCGCTGTCAAAGCCCGTTGCACCTCCTTCAAATGGTGCAACGGTGGCCTGTCTCCAACTCGCGGCCCACATCTCGTTATCTAAGCCCAAGTGAACAGCCTCCCATTGAGAACTGTCGAAGGCCCGCCCCAACACCAACAACTTGACAACCCAATCAAGACTCTAATTAAAAAAGACAGAAAGACGCCTCAACCTACCTTTAATGTGAGACATGCCAACCAGTATGTTACAAGACGCATTGCTGATCAACAATGCAGCAGTCAATACTTAACGTTCTCCAACTTCTCTCAAGCTAAGTCAATTTTACAGAGATATATCTTATGCAAAGCTGTTCGTTATTATTATGCTAGGCGCTCTCTATGCTATATTTATACTTTAAATATATTGGGCTCTAGCCACTTGCATCTTTCTCGGATACTCGAAGACTCACGCCTCCTGCCTCCGGGCTAGGCTCGAAGATTCCCGCCTCCGAGCGATGCTCTCTCCGGAGAATGCGTACCGCCTCTGAGCGATGCTCCCTCTCGGGGATGCTTCCCGCCTCCGAGCGATGCCCCCTTGAGGGATTGATTCATGCCTTCCGCCTCCGGGCAAGGCTAAAATACCGCCTTCGAGCGATGTACCCTTCGGGGATTGATTCATGCCTTCCGCCTCCGGGCAAGGCTAAAATACCTCCTCCGAGCGATGCACCCTTCGGGGATTGATTCATGTCTTCCGCCTCTGAGCAAGGCTCGTAAACAGCCTTTGAGCGAGGCTCCCCCCGAGGAATGCTTCCCGCCTTCGAGCGATATTTCCTCTTTGGAATGCTTTCCGCCTCCGAGCGATATTCCCTCTTTGGAATGACTTCCCGCCTCCGAGCAATGTTCCCTCTCATGAAGCAAAGAAGCGATGCGCTTCCCAGGAAGCCGAGGAGCGACGCGCTTCCAAGGAAGCCGAGGGGCGACGCGCTTTCTAGGAAGCCAAGGAGCGATGCTCTTCCCAGGAAGCTGAGGAGAGACGAGCTTCCTTAGAAGTCAAGGGAGCAACGCGCTTCCCAGGAAGCGAAGGAGCAATGCACTTCCCAGGAAGCCAAAGGCACGAGTTGCTTCCCAGGAAGCCGAGGAGCGATGCGCTTCTCAGGAAGCAAGGAGCGAGGCGCTTCCCAGGAAGCCGAGGAGCGACGCGCTTCCCAGGAAGCCAAGGAGAGATGCTCTTCCCAGGAAGCCGAGGAGCGACGCGCTTACCAAGAAGTCAAGGGAGCAACGCGCTTACCAGGAAGCGAAGGAGCAATGGGCTTCCCAGGAAGCCAAAGGTGCGAGGCGCTTCCCAGGAAGCCGAGGAGCGATGCGCTTCCCAGAAAGCCGAGGAGCAATACGGTTTCCAGGAAGCGAAGGAGCAATGCGCTTCCCAGAAAGCCAAAGGAGAAGCGCACCCCAGGAAGCAGAAGCGCACTAAGCTTTCGAGAAAACTGAAAGACTAATCCGCTTCTCAAAAGGCGAAGTATTAAGCTTCCTAGAAGAGAGCACTTGATCTTGCCTCACACAAGTAAGACATTAACAAGACACGTGACTTCTTGACAACATGGACGCGACATTGGTGAGACACGAAACAAAAGCGTCTTGAGTTAAAACTCTCAAGCCGTGGGGGCCACCCTACCTAGGTCGCAATCGTGGTCCACTAGCGCTAACAACAATGGACTAGCGAAAGAACTCTTAATGACTTGAGAGCTTTGGTTCAAGACATCGAAAGTCAAGCAAGGGGCAAAGGAAATGATCACGCAACTCGCACAAGGGGCAAACCGCATCATCCGGATTCGTAAGTAAGGCAAATTAATACACGATTAACGCATTATGTTACTCCTTCCATTCTTACAGAATACAAGAAGTAAAGGGGCAATTGTTGGGATATGGATTAATATGCCTACACAACTATACACAGGCTCAAGCCCACCGCAAGGCGTCCTGGGCCCAAGCCCACTCAAGGAAGCCCAAACCCTATATAAGGAGGCCTAACCCTCCAAACTAGGGATCTTCTCTTTTCCCTTCCTGACTTTCCCCTAAGGTCTCTCTCTACTTTATCTCTCTACATACCATACACTCTCCTATATCGTACTAACTTGGGCGTCGGAGCGTATCCCGGGGGCCGCCCCCCGCCTCACAGGTCTTCCACTCCCGAGGAGATCAGACGAGGGAGTCCAGATCGGAGCCCCATAACCGCCTAGTACATTCTAGGCACAAACAGGTGACACAACTCCCATTCACAAGAAAGGGTGGATTCCCATTCCCATTCCCATTCCCATTACTGGTTGAAATGTGGCTGAGTTCTAGGGTGTAGCCGGGTGAAGAAACTTTTCTTCAATCGTATAGCTGTAGTGTGGTTATCTGAACTCTAGATGCAATAACATGCATTTTAAGTTCCTGAACTTGAGATGCGAAGGTCAGCCAACGACACTTCCAATATTGTGAAATCTAGAGCACTAACCAGAATAAAACGAACTCAGCTTCCGATCACTATATAATATGACCATTCAATTTTGATGGGCAAAAATCGAATATCTTCATGATCTAATCCGACTCTATTTTGTACTTTATTTCTTATCCAAAGTTCTTCAACTATGCCCCATCCCTAATTGCCGTACACTCTCGTTGACCCGAAAGGAACACTAGACCCAACGACACACCTAGTAGGGGTGTCCATTCGGGTTCGGTTTTTCAGGTTTACCCGAAACCAATCCGATTATATACATTTTCGGTTTTTCGGGTTAAGGTTTGTTTTGGGTTTCGGGTTTTTCGGTTTTGGGTTCGGTTTTGCTTATCGATTTTTCGGGTTCCGGCTAAAAACCTCCAAAGAATAGAACTTAACCCGTATTCTTAGGCGTTTGGGTTTTCGAGTTTCGGTTTTGCTTTAACCGAACCCGAACCCGATAAGGAATTTTCGGGTTTAGGGTAACCGGAACCCGCAAGTCCTTATCGAGTTCGGGTTCGGTTTTTGTAATTTTCGGTTTTGGGGTTTCGAGTTTTTTGGGTTTCGGTTCGGGTAACCAAACCCGACCCGAACTGACACCCCTAACACCCAGGCCGGTACTCAGTGAGATGGACAAAGGATCATTAATTGGCACACCTAAATGACAAACCCAAAATTCGATTCCATCCAATCCAACCAACTGTACTGAATGCTAGTGCCTGAAAGTTACTTGCGGCCATCAATTGCCACCTTCTACGACAAGCCAAGCCTGTCTCCTCTCGAGACAAACCACGCCCACTTTATGCCCACATGGCTCTCCACTGCAACCGCCCACTTTCGCGAAGCAAACATTCCCATGGCTGCTGCCACCAGCTTCCCCATTTACACAACACACACACACGGCCAAGAACTTGAATTTTTCACTGCCCGAGAGTACACGGCTTTAACTACAATCAAATTCACTGCACGTTAAAAACTGAAGACCGCTTGTACCAAATTCAACAAGGAAAGAAGCGCGACAATGGAGATAATTCCAGAGAAGCTTGTTTTTTCATGGGTGATTGACGGGGAGCTGCTCTGGATTTCATACGAATCGACAGCAAGGGGCATTCCGTCGCGATTAAGAGCGCACGAATGCTGCTGGGAATCCACACCATCGTCGTTGTTCATCATTATCACCCGGAGCACGGCCGAGACGGTGTGGATGTAGGCCGTCCGGTTCTTGGCGAGCAGCCATGTGAGACCCATGAGCTGGCAGTCCTTGTTGCGCATTTTGGTGCTTCTTTCCTCCGGTTTGTTGCTTGCGTTCCAAGACTCCTTATTGTGATTGCTGTTGAGCTGCGACAGAGAGGGTTTCAGTGGTTAGGTTTCTAACAGTAACTCCCTATACTGATTGGTTGGTGAAAGCTTTAGACTTGAGTTACAAGCAGCATCCACCCCGGTACCTTCCCAATCTCACTGCAACATACTTTTTGTGAGACATTTACCCTACTGAAACTCTGAAAGGGACAGGACCATTTACAACAGACTAGCAAACGAACAAGTAGCTAAGCATTGGGCCCCCAACCTATTGGCACATGAAGAGCAACTAATCATTGAGTTGCACTGCTCATTCTTATGGGTTCTCTTCTTTTGCTACTCTTATCCTTTTCTCACATAAAGGACGAAGAAAAATGGGTTGAATTATCTTTGGGTTGATCTGTTTTTGTCAGGGGTTCACAAATCAGTTAGGTCCACTCCAACAGTCCAACTTACTAACTTGTCATAGATAGCCGACTCAACTGACCCTACAAATTTGCTTCTACTACTAACAACTTTGCCCCCCCACTTGACAAATAGGATCAAGGACATGCAACGCCATTAATGGGGTTTTGTACCATCAATTCAAACCCTCGTTAGCACATGCTCTTTCAACATAGCAGCAATTCTTCTCAAGACAGAATGCTTATGAAGACCATGCTTATAATTCCTTCACCCTTCGATTTGCAATGAAACTACTACACAATGTATACGCATTCAGCTCAGCAGGATGGACAAATTCTGGTATACTAATGCACAAAGTACCGAGAATCACACTAAAAAAACAAAGCAGAGAATTGAGTCTTCCTAGGCAATAATTAAAGCTCAACCCACGAGCTCGAAAGGAATGACAAAAGGGAGAAACAGAAGGAATTGGATACTGGTTATGGGTTCACTCGCTTCCATGGAGCGTCGTGTCTACTGTCTACATTCTAGCCTTCACATAAGCAAAAGCAACAAACTTTCCCAATTAGCCATAGACATTAAAGGTTAAGAACCCTAATTTAACCACCCAATTCTGCCTGCCTCGCTTGCATTCTCACGCAATCTCCCTATAATTTCATCATCGCCAAGCAAAAGAGCAATACCCAGAAGCGAGATCGAATGGCATCGCCAAGGACAGAGGGAAAATGGGGCGAAAAGGAAAACAGAGACAGAGGACTTACGGTGTTGAGAGTGGTCAAGCACTTGGAACAGCCACTCAACCCCTGGAACCCATTCACATTGTGGCTGCTGCTGAAGCAATCTCTTTCCAACCGCCTCACGCGGCGGTCCCCGACGAGCTTCCCTCCGGTGTCGAGCGAAAATGCGTCGGGGCAGCTCAAGGGGTGGAGCCGAATCCCGCAGTAGCAGTAGACGGCGTCGCAGGAGTCGTTGAGGCGGGGCAGCTGGATCCCTTTCTCCCTGAGCCCTTTCTCCAGGGCATCCACGCAGGTCTCCGAGTCGTCGGGGAGCAAGGGCATGTCGATGTCGTAGTGGCGGCCGGCCCTGCCGAGGGCGGTGGCGGAGTAGGCGGAGTAGAGCCATGCGGCGAGGACGGGGCAGCAGCGGGCCTTGTGGAGGTGCTGCTGCTGCCGGGCGGTGGAGGTGGAGCAAGCGGATTTGACGCCTTGGAAGAGTGGGGCGGGGAGGTCGAGAGGGCAGGCTTGGTAGGTGGATTGCTCAGGGAAGGCCGGGATGGTGGAGGGCGGGGACTGGGTTGGGAGGAGGAAGGGCTGGATGGTTTCTGGGTCCGGTAATGGTAGAGCTCGGAGGAGATTGGGGAACAATGTTAGGAAAAGGAGGAGGGTTAGGGAGAGGATCGGTGGAGGATTGGGAAGGCTGGTCATTTGCAGAGATGAAGGTTTTCCTTTTCGGTTGGAGGGAGGTACTGAAATTATGGTATGGGAATGGGAACGGGAACGGGAACGGGAACGGATGAGGGGAAAGAGAGAAAGAAAGAGTGGGAGGAAGGGAAGAAGATCAGTGAGCAGTGCGCAGTTGTTTTGTGGGGCAGTGGTTTTGGCTAGTGCTATGTCTGCAACTACAAGCAAGAAAGGCCTAAATGATCTAACAACAATTTAGGATGGTAGTATTGAATTGAATGGGAACACGGGACTTGCGCTAGCTATATGGTCTCTACTTTTATGATGGGAGAGTGGCAATGCCCTGTTGAAATGGGAATCTCTGGAGAGGGAACGGTGGGTCGTCCCTGAAATTATTGCTTCATAGGCAAGTTGGAAACAACTTACTTGTGATACCATGAACATTTGGGACAATATGTGCACATTAACTAAGTCATGAATTCCGCTCCAATTGATAGGCTTGGAAAGCGAGGTAAATAGGTGGTGACTGGTAAGTTAGTTGCGGGCTCTAGTCCTTTATTTCTCACTCACTGTGAGTTTTGATTTGGTGGGTTTATCTGATGGTGTACTCTTGGTGGGTTTATCTGATGGTGTACCAACTTGAGTACAGGTAGAATACGAGCGACCGTGAATGAAAATGGGAACAAGCAAGCTAGACATAATCCAATCGAGTTGAACAACAACGACGAATGGGGGTGATGGGTGACGGGGACGACGTAGAAGAGGGCGATTCAAACTTCCATTGGCTTGGAATCGTCGGTGTCGGCAGAGCACTTCAACAGAGACAGAGGGTCGCTCGGAACCAAGGATCCGTCATTTCTTACACAATGAATGGAGGAGGAATATGGTGGAGGAGTTTAGTGGAGGGTATGGAGTTTGGATCGGTGACAGTGGAGTTCGTCGGAGCAATTCTCTTTTTACAGTCGGAAGGCTAGAGGTCGAGGAAGACCCAAAGGAATTGCCTTTTCATTCATTTTTTTATGGGCATTGCTATTCGTCGCCCTAAAACACCTTATTCGTCGCATCTAACTTTTAGTAAAATGACTCAAATATCCTTAGTTTAATTTGTGTTTGTCAAACGTATAAACACAAACAAACACATACAACTATACTAATAACAAAATAAAATATTAAAAAAAAACAAATTAATGAATTACAAGTAACAATTATGAAGCCCACCCGCTCCATATCGCCATTGCGGCTGATTGAAAACCAGTCAGAGCTCGTTGGCGACGGGTTGAAGTGATTATCGAAAAATAAAAATAGGCGATGACACCTTCTTCTTAATCCTTGCCTTTTTCTTCCTCCTCCTTGCTTTTAACCGAGTCTCTCTTTTCTTTCCTATTGTCCATGAAATGAAGAGCATGCCCTGACAACAGGCAATTCCTAGTTATGGTGTCTGGTTTTGTTTCGGAAAACTCCATCTCATGAAAAAGATTCCACGCATCACTCAAATGGTCATGCAAGGTGTGATTAGAAATAATCGAATTCCAGGAAGACGAGCTGAGATCTCCTATCCAATCATCAGCGTCTCGGTTGATTAGATTTAGAAAGAAAAAACAGGATAGTAGTAGAAGAAGTAGAATTTGACACAGGTGGGAAATACCCCCCGGATAATCTTTTTTTAATCCGCACCTCCTTACCCTAGCTAAGCTCTAAGGAATGAATCTACCGGAGATCTCTGCTATAATTTTTTTGTTCCATTTTCTTATTGTTGTCGGGGGAGAAGAAAATTGGTTCCTCGGTCGGAGAGGAGGGACTCGTCCAGGGTTGAGCTCGAAGGCGGCTCGGCAAGGTAAGGGTCTTTTTGTTTAGGGTATTGGTTAGAAATTGTGGCTAGAGGGTAAGACTGTCAATTTGATACATTTTAGGGTGACAAAATTTGTATTTTAGGATGACGAATAGCGATTTAGTTTTTTAGTGGGTTAATTGCAAGGTTGATCACTGAGATTACTAAAAACATTCATGTTTGATCACTAAAAATATTTAATTCCATTTGTGGTCACTTAAATTAGTTAAATAGGTCAAGTTTGCTCACTCTCCGTCCAACTCCGTTAATTTATGCTTACGTGGCGATCAACTTTAAGAGTTAACCGTTAAATGTGTGACATGGCAATTAAAAATTAAAAAAATAAATAAAATTTAATTTTTAAATCATTCCCATGCAACCCGAGTTCCACCCCGGCCGCCGCAGCTTCTCCGACTACCGCACTCACAGATCATCGCCTCCACCATCATCCCCAAAAAGCTTCACCATAATCACGATGAACCCATCATCACAAAAAAACCTGATCCATAATCACGATGACCTAGCAGTAAGTTACATACAAATACAAGACCATTTTTTTAGTATATCCGCCCAGGACTGCGCGCCCAACACCTAATGCAGATCCAGATGAAAGAGGATGAGAAGGTGGAAAGTGGAAAGTGGAAACGAGCTTTAAACCTTGGTCAAAAGCTCTGCTGCGTTTCCCGTCCGGAGAAGCGACCGCGAAGGAATTTCTCTTCTTGACGGCGTCGTCAACACTACGATAGCTGTTGTTGCGATGACGATGACTTTCCATAGATTGTTGCGCGTAATAGCTTCGCATGTCCGACAGAATCCCCATTTCTTCACCGATTTAGGATCAAGTAAACCTTCGAGCTCTCGGATCAAAGGTGGACGTGGGAGGAGATGTATAGACCTTCAAATTAAATCTGAAATTGTTCTTTGTATAGAATGAAGGTGTCCGCGCCTAGCAACTAATGCAGATGAAGCACCTCCAGAAGGACTTCTACCAGATCCTCTCCACCAACCGCGCCTACCTGGACCCTGAATCCATCTTCACCAGCTCCTCCATCAGATCCAGCCTCTCCGACTTCAACGCCGCCGCCGACTTCGCTGGAGTTAGAGCTGACGCCATCGGCGAGGTGGACAGGTTGCCTCGCTCACTATTTGAGATCCATCGCCGAGTGCATGATCTCCGGTGACTCAGATCTACCCGCAGAAGAAGACGATCCCGCTCAAATCGTGGACTGGAGCCTGTACGACTAGAGGTGGCAAATGGATTGGATTGGTGGATCCATGGATTAAATGGATTGGATCTAATGGATTGGTGAATTCATGAATTGGATCAAGTGATTGGTGGATTATCATGAATCCAAATGACATCCTCAACCAAGGACCAATATGTAAAAATGTAAAAAGTTTAGGTACTAAAATGTCATAATGAAAATTTTTAGGTACCAAAACGTAATTTTCCAATGATATTTTTCGAAGAAAAAATTAAATTTTAGGTACCAAAATGTAAAAAATAAAAATTATAGGTACTAAACCGTAATTTGCCAATGATCCATGAATCCACCAATCCAATTAGATTTGGATAAAATTGATTGGATTTAAATGGATTGGATTAGGTGGATATTTTTAATGGATTGATGGATTGGATTGGTGGATTGGATTGATTGCCACCTCTATGTACGACAAAGGCCGCATGGTGGTGCACGGGATTCGCACGGCGTATCACGAGCTGATGTACCGTCGTTCTTAACCTTTTTTATGGCTCTTTTGGCTCCATTTTGGGACGCATCACTACTGGTCCAGGAGGGAGTTTGAGAAGTTGCATTGCTACGACCACTTCCTCGCTATTGCCACCAACCACCCTTGGCGCCGTCTGCTGTCCATTCGAGAGAAGGTCTACCACGAGCTGGTGCTCGAGTTCTATACGACCTTCAAGCACGAAGATACCGAGGACTAGGCGGACGGTGAAGCTGTCAAGTTCAGGCTCGGGGGTGAGCCCCGCTCCATGAGCTACCACGACTTGGCGGTCGCTCTCGACCTCGGCCTGGACGATGACAAGGATTACGTCACCGAGCTCAACGATCCAGTGGGTGTGAATTTCAAGGTGCTGTAGACTCGCCTAGCTCAGCCTGGTCAGCGTCCCTTCCTTGCAGGGAGAACGAAGGCTAGCACCTTGCAGCTCGATAACCGCATTCTCCACCACATGCTGGCGAAGTCCTACACTCCAGCTGGGGACAGTTCCAGCACCCTCACCAAGCGGTCCATATACTTGATCCAGTCCATCCGCACGGGGAACCACCCTCTCCACCTGGGTTCAGTGGTGGCCAGGACTTTTGACAAGAGTGCTTCAGAACTGCGGAGCCTACACTGCACTCCCCTCATCACCCGCCTGGCCACCTACTTCCAGATTCCTTTGCAAGGCTGCACAGAGCAGGGGGACACCAGTGTCTTTGGGGAAGTCACGATCCAGCATATGCATATGCACTGAGGATGTCCACCCCGAGGATGTGGACACTACTGCTGCTCCCTGCTAGACCACCTTCGAGTACGGGGGTAGCAGTTCCACTTTCCCAGGTGATGACTACTTCACTCACCAGTTCCAGCAGCTGAGTCTCCAGAATCAGCAGTTCCTCGACCATCATATCCAATTTCAGCAGCAGTACTCGGCTCACTAGGCCGAGTATAAGACCAGGATGGATGCTTATAACGAGCTCCTTGGCCGTATGGAGACCCAGCAGGGAGTGACCCTCGCTCACATCGAGAGGTAGCGGGCCCGATCTCGGCGTATGCAGGTGGTCCAGCATCACCTGCTCCTGCTGATACTGGGCGAGCAGCCAGTCTGGAAGACTCCTTGAGAGGACTCTCCACTTCCACCTCCACCAGCTAATGATGATGCCTTCATGAAAGACATCGATTTGGACAACCTTGGCGACGAGTAGTCTGTACTTGTCGCCACTCAGAGTGTGTTTTTGTTTAAGACTTTTCATGTTTGCTCCATGTGTGTGTGGAGCTTGAACTGAGTCTGTTTTTGTTCTTGTTCTTTTTTTTTTTTTGGTGGATTGTCTATTGTGTGTCCATCTAGGCTAACTCTGATCCCTAACACACAGTTTGCTAGTGTGTTCTTTATGTTCCCTTCGTGCAGAACTAGTCCTTCGTTCCATATGTTTCCCGCTGACTGGTCCACTTCCAGTCCCCCGGCCGTATTTCCATCCGGTAACATCGTTCCCCTTATCTCTTCCTCTGCTCCATTGAGGGCAATGTCGTGCTTAAGTGTGGGGGGTGCTTTGTATTGGTTGGAATCTATATATGGTGCTTGGAGCCTAGTCCGCTGTCCAAATCTCGAGATTTGATGGCTCCAAGTATCGCTGTTTGCATGATCATATTGGCACTGTGATTTGAGTGGTGAACCGAATGGTTTTCGACTTAATGCATGACAACTGGAGTGTAACTAGGACAGCCTATAATGATGACTGAGACGTGCAGTAGAATTGTGTAGGGGTTCAGTTTGTCAACTGTTTGCTTACCAACTGTGACTTGGATTGATCACTTGTTATTGACAGTCGTTTATGCATCTAGTTCAGGAAATCAGAATGAGAGATAGAGCATATAGGTAGCCATGTGAGATTTGAGCCTTCTCGTTTCTTTCTTGTGCGATAGTTCCCTCTTCCATGATGTGTGGCATTCACGTTGTCATTAGCTAAGATGATGGAGGCATAGGATTAGCCCACGACCAAATTGACTTCCTGATGTGTCATATCCCCTAGTCAGCCGTTTGAGCCGTGTGTTATCCTTTCTTTCGGTCTACAATGGAAAATCACCATTTTGCATCTATTAGAAGGTTCCACAGAGTGGTTTTTGCATGTTCTCTGCTATTTCTGCTAAATAAAATGTGAGGGTTGGAGGTATTTCTTAAAAAGTTGGGCATGTATTTGAAAAATGTGCATAGGTGGTGGTTCTCTCAAGAAACGAAAAAGAAAAGAAAAGAAAAAAAATGAATGAAAGCAAAAGAGAGCCACCACCAAAAATCTGAATAGTGCCCATTAAGTAGTGTTTCTTAGCAGTCTGGCTTGGAAATACTAACATTTATGTGACCTCCTTCGCTCTTGTGCTCTAGAGAATGTGAGTAATGAAAAATGGCAGAAAGAAAGTGGTTTAATTGACTGTGATTGTGTTGGGTTTGGAAATGTGGAACCTTGTGCTATGAATACTTCCACCACCTAAAAGGCCTTTTTCCCATGTCCAAGACCCTAGCCAGTCATCTCAACCTGTGTCTAAGACCTCCGGATTAGTTAGTGGTGACACTCCATATGTGAACTCTAACATTTAGAGGATGCCTTCATGGTGAAGAGACATTAGGGATTGAGAGATTAAGCATGCGCATTTTTTGCATCAAATTGTCCTGACCCCACTGGTCGAGAGTGAGCGATTCGTTTTCTCTACTCTTTAACCCAGTGAGGACCTAGATTGCTCGGTCTCAATTCTGATATCTTGAGTTTTGTGCATGAGGTGACTATCTTGAGTAAGTGGTTGAGTCAAGTCTATGTTGGTTGATGAACAGAAGGGAGACTCCACCTTTACTCGATTTTGCTGCACTCGAATGTCCTCTGTGGTGGTTATCCTGGTTGCTGTTGAAGTTGTTCATGTGATGATGTTTGAAAGCTAGTACGATTCGCGTGTTCTGTGCCTTTATGATTTGTCTCCAATGTTGGTATGATTGAAATATGTGAGCTTACCTTGTATCTGACTTGGTTTGCTTGGGGACAAACAAACGGTTAAGTGTGGGGGAATTTGATGACTTGATATATACACATGTTTTTGTCCACCATTCTTATACCGTTTGAGTCTTATTTCTCGTGTTTTAGGCCGATTTCACGCTAGGTTGTTCTTGTTTGCGATATTTCAGGTCCTAGTACGTGAATGAAGGTTTGGGAACGAGTTCGGGTCGATTGGACAAAGATTGGACGTTTGGCAAGAGGCTGAGCAAGCCACACGGGCACGCCTAAAACCCACACGGCCGTGTGACCTGGCCGTGTGCACCAAATTACACGGGCAAGCCACACTGGCCGTGTATGGGACCCTTTGTGGCCGTGTGGAACGTACAGGGAGCTCACACGGGCAGCCTGGAAATCCACACGGTCGTGTGGTTTTGGCCGTGCAGCAGGCTTGGAAGTCACTTAATCGAAAATCCGCGTTTTGACACTCACACGGGCAGCTGGGAAAGCCACACGGCCATGTGGCCCAGCCGTGTGGTCGGGATTTCTGGGTTTTAACCCAATTTCGGGCCAAAAGTGAAGGAATCGACTTTTTGGAGCAAAAACAGAGCCTTAGAGAGAGAAAGTGCGAAGAACACCCCCTAAGAGTGGTTTTGGAGCTGTGTTTCATCAATCAAGCTTGGAAATCATCCTTGGAGTGAAGATCATCATCCCCGAGCAGATTCTTCCCATTGTTATGAGTATGACTGCTTTTTATTTGGATTCCCTCTCTCTCTCTCTATGGAGTAGAACCTTCTCTCAATTGGGTATGAAGAACCCTAGTTCCATGTCTTTGGGATCTTGATTGTAATGACTTGGGATTGTTACACTGTTTGGTTTTAATCGAATGATGCATGATTCATTGAATCAATTGAAGTCTGATCATCTTTTCTTGATTCTGCTGCAACCTGAGATAGATAGAATCTGATTAGGTTGTTAGAGCTTCATCATTCGGTAGTGGTAGATTGCTTATACGAGAGTTAATCAACCTAGTGCTTTGTACTGGAACCCAATTCCAGTAGTGGAGTTCTGTGCTTATTGCCTCAGCAGTCTATCCTGGTGCAGGTTAGTCGCCTGCCGGTTAGCCTGCCTGAGAGGGCTTGGTCAGCTTAAGAGATTCCAAGCTACTGTCGGATCTTCCGCAGTTTAATCAACAGTAAATCAACCAAGGGTAATTACAACTGAGTCCTAACTAAGGAGCTAGGGGGACTCTGAAACACCCTAACCCGGCCGGGTACTAATTTTACCAAAATCCCCTTGATGGCTCATAAACCAAAATAAGAAACGAAGGACTTGAAAAAAAAAATGGAAGCTTTCCATAAATAACCATAACAAATACTGAAGTGAACTGAAATCTCTTAAAACAAAGCCCTAACACCTGGACAGACCTCAACCATAGAATCTTAATCTGAATCTCCAGTCACTACTCATAATCGTAAACCAATAACTAACACTCTACTTTGTTGTCTTCTCGGATTCGATCTCTGGCACCTCCAGTGACGCTTGTACTATCCTCCTCTAGCTGGCTTGCCTCGAACAGCTTTCTCGATCTCGCTGCTCACTAACTGCTCCTCTAGCTGCAACTATCAATCTAGTTCTCGCTTATTCCTTTACTAAGTCCTACTGAGTGAGATGGGGTCAGTCTACGACCTTGCGTTTTAATAATTTTAATACTTGAGTACTTTACTTAAACACTTAACTTTGACTAGTGGAAGTTGTTTGTACTTGCAATCTTAAAATCTTAACTCTTAAACTTTGAGGGAGTTGAAGTTACTCTCCTCTCTTAAAGCTCAAATCTTGACTTAAATACTTGACCGACACGGGGATCCCTCACAAGCTAGTCCGGTTGCCAACTCATACGTATGAGAAGCCATCCAGGCTTTCCTTAAACTTAAACTTAGTTAGGGGAGTCGTAACGATTCATCCCCCTAACATCTTAAACTTATCGTGGTGGCTCTTCACCACGATTCTTAAGAGCATAACTACTGCTCATCTTAAAAGTCTCAAGAGCATAACTGCTGCTCTATCTCAAAATGCCTCAAAAGGCCAAGGACTGGCGCTAGTGACTAAAAACACTTAAAACGACTTCACCTTCTTCAAGGTGAGTTACTTCTTAAAAAGAATTTGTTTCTTTAACTTAAACTTACTTGTAAGTAAAGCACACAACAACATAAACTGAAAGCATAACTCACACAAATCATGACATCAAATAAGCATACAAAGGAAAGCATGGCACATAGCAATCAATATCAAAACTCAAATATCGTAAGGCGTAGAATTTACCCCCTTTACGAAACAGATTGAGCTGAATGAGCTACATGAATCAATTTCCCATCACTTGATCATCTCATGACTGCTCGGACACAACCCCACCATCTCCTAATGCCATGAAAACGTCCCACAAGGATCCACTCCCAATCATTGCTCACGTGGCCTTTGTTGATTACTAGCTCCACCATATATTCTCTTCGTTGTTCTACGGGCTCCTAGCACCTTCCCTCTCTTTGTTAAATGAGACTCCATTTCATGAGTACTTATTCCACCGCTTGAGAAATGGAATCCAACGCCTTGCACATTCAAATTACCCCTTCACCCAATAAAGACAAGTAGATAGCCTAGCCTCGACACTGACCTTCATCGATCACAGACCCGGGGACTTCACATGTTCCACCTGGACCACGACATTGTATCTCCCCTATTTTTTTTCTCGGCATCCTTCGTCATTTGTCGAGCGCATTATAAAGGAAACGTTATCCATTGTTGGGAGCGGCTCCTTGGCCACTTCGAACTCGCCATCACCTTCCCGTAGTCGTAATGGCATCTCCAGCCACCTATTCCCTTACCCTATATTGCATAAGCTCTCGATTTTGAGGAACATTGATTCGTGACCTAGAGGGGACTATGAGCGGTCGGAAGAAAAATAGGGAAGTCAGGGCATTTGCTCCAATATATACTCCTGCATTCGATCTGAGGTTCAGCTTAGGGTTTAATTAGGTCTAAGGAGCATTTTGGAAATTTCTCAATTACAACTGAGTTTAATTCGAAACTCAGTTGTTGTCCGTAACTTACTCGATTTATATCGAAACTCGACACCATTTAAACCGAGAGTTTGCATTTTTCGTCCTCATCAATATTACAATGGAATTTGACAAATTTACCCCAGGGTATAATAGTCATTTTGACTTTGGGCAATCTCGGGGGTGTAACAGACTCATTACTGAGTGACTCTCCCTTTG